ATGTGTCACATGGCCCTCCTAATTCCAACAGTGTAATTTGGTACTGTATATATGTTTAATTAAACGTATACTCTCGACTAGTCCCCCATTTTCCCTCAAATGGACTTCCCTGGGCGTCATCAGCGCCCCCCCCCTCCCCTCCCAGCTTAGCTTAGCCCTAGGATGATGTGCGTCTGTGGACATGCAGGTGGCACAGGCCCTCCTTAGGTCGCTGCTCATGTTGAAATAGAGAGGCATTTACCGTCTCTCTGACAACGTTGATGTGCTCCCGACCTCGCAGCGCCCACCTCTACGCGGTCTGACTGCCCATCTGGCACTAGAGCACGATGGGTTGCCTACCCGTCAGGATGGGGCGGGCGGGGATCGTTAGGTGCCGTCACCGGCCCACACCCTGAAGGACTACGCGTCGTGAACTTTTGACTGACTGCGTAATCGTAATAAAATAGAAGATTGTTTTAAAAGAGTAAGAGAGGTAACGTAAATACGGTAAATGTCTCGTTCCGATTCTCTAACAACGTTAGTTTGTTTACTTTGCACATCTAGCCTCTCTCCGCACACACGTGGCCCGCTGGTGACAGACACGTCTGGACAGTCAAGTCGTGCGTGGAAACGACAAATTCTTTACTGGATAGTTAAAGGATAAATTAAATTAGGTTGTAAGTATACTTCCCCTCGGAGATGATTATCTCTCCTTCCTTACCGCGGGCAGTCTTTCACGGTATGACTATGGTGTTACGTGGTGAGCATAATCTTTCTGAGAGGGGTTACAACTGTCGTATATCCACTCTCTCTAGCCCATTTTCAATATTGAGGAGGGTGCATTTAAAGAACATTAGGTAAAAAGAATTTGCAATCAAATTAGGGTCAGGAACTGATTGTGTTTCTGAGCTGATTGTGAGACGGTTATCCATCCCCACAGAAGTGCGCTTGTTCCTTTGCAGTTTTGTTTATAATTTTTGGTGGGGATTTGTTTGACTTTATTTATATTTCACAGCCAAACAATTGTCATCCATAGCTTAAAAATAAAAGTAGAGTCAAAGTATACTCTCATACAAACATTTCACTCCATATTTTCTGACTTCTGTTTTTTTTTATCTCGGATAGGCTCCAGTCCCCAAAAGTTTCGTGTTTTTACAGGTGGGATTTTAATTTCTTGTACACGTTTAATTAGTTAGCAGAAATAAACTTTGATGCTTCTGATATCTCCAATGTCTCTAACCATTCTGCTGCATTAATGATTGTGAAAGAGAGATAGAGGACACGACCATGAAGCAGGACTGGAAGAGTTGATGGAGGACTTGCAATTTTGCTAAGTTTTTTTTCTTTATTTTCATGAAATCTTAAAAGTATTAATTATGATGTGTTTTGGTTCATATTTTTCTTTTATCTCTTCTTTGATTTTGTACTTTTTTCTGCTCAAAGACAGGCATTCTAGTCCATGAACTGAATGCTCTTTTTCTCTTCATAGTCCTGTAATTACAGGTGTATGATATGTAAAGGAAATAATATAGAAACAGAGTTAAAAGCGCATAAATATTTATAATTCCACCTGTGAACATTTTGATGTTGAGTTGACATTGTTTGTCCAAGGCAATGCTTTGAAGCATGGCACCTTAATGTTATGCAGCTTCCTAAAACTGTAAGGAGTCCAGAGAGGGAGAGGAGTTGGTGTCACCATGATATATGTTGACGGAAATTCTGTGTTTTACCCTTGTTGCAGGAAGACCGTCCATGAGTTGCATCTGCGCTTGACATATCAGCTACGCAGCCGTCAGCTGTCACCCAATGTATGCTGAGTCGGCGTCACAGCACACAGCATGAGAAATGGCCCCTTTTTCTCGTGATCATAGGAAGGAATGAATCTGGTAAGTTTTGGCTTTTTATGTAATGTTAACAAAAAAATATCAATACATTATGGTAGAGTCATGATGGGTAAAAGTTTATTTTGGTATTTGTTTCTATTAGGGGGTTACTTGTTATATCTTTACTGTCTCTATGCTACCTCTATATAAGCGGTGCCGCTTATTACTAGATCCTAAAATATGTAGTCGTGTGTTGATTTTAGTGGAGGGAAGTGAGAGAGGCAAATCATCAGAGAGTCAGTTACAGTAATGCTGCTATTTATTTCATTTGTATGGTACAGTCTTAGTAAAATAGGAAGTGATGCTAGTTCTTGTCCAAAGGGATGTGCCTGGACTTGATGCCGTCCACCTGTAACATAGAAAGTTCATTCGATGAGTTGGCGTCACAGTGATACAGATGGACCAGAAAATGTTTGAGTTGAACTCTGAGATAATTTGAATTTACTTATATTCTTTTCATTCTTTTTTTCAGGTATTGAGATTTGCCCCAAGTCACCAGCAGAAACAAGCCAGCTA